AATGAATAAACAAAAAGTTGTCAATTGTTTCCTAATCTAGACCACAAAAAATAATCGCAAATGTTATTAACTATTGTCTTATTATCCAGACTCCATTTAGTTTTAACGTGTTCAATTTCTATAAAAATCAATGTCGATGGAATTCTCAAATTATTTTAGGGGGGGGGGGGGGTTGGACGGGTTTGTTATTAGCACTTTACCTATCAGATTAACTAAGTAATAACTTTTCTGTCGGCATTGGCGTTGATCGTAACTTTTAATATTTTAATAGTTTAAACTGCATATTAACTATATACCTACTCTGCGTTTTATTAATCCAATACACACAAATAGGATGCATCCGGTGGAACGAGCGCCGGCTGGTCAATCACCAGTTTGACCGAGCGCCGGTACGATCGGCGCCGGCTTGCGATAGCGCCGGCTAGTCGTCGCCGGTTTGGTTATTCCCGGTTAAGGAATCGCCGGTTAATAGTGTGCCGTGAAAAAAATGAGTCGCATCAGCTTTCATTCCTTATCGACGGTGAGTAATTCTTTATCGACTTGGTGGCTACGTGATGGCGCCTTGATTTCGCTATCTAGGGCATTCACTACGAAGATGATAATTAGTTCCAACCCTGTGAGGGAACGAGGAAAGAATAAATACCCTGCAGACGCGGTAAAAATCCGGTAATAACGCTCATCTTTCCAGTTCATGCGCCATGTGTCATGTGTGTATGCCGGCCAATGTTTGATTTGATTTTACCGATTGTGGCGATTTTTTATGTTCCTCGATTTTGCAAAGGTAAATGTTTTGTGCATTTTCATGTAGAAATAATTGCCGTTAAAACGATACCTATAGGGGTTTATACATGTTGGTGGTTATTTGACCAAAAACGGATTTTATGTATGTATAATAAATCAACTATGTCATAACGAGAAGTGAACATGAAAAAAACAGTGTTAAAAGTTACACCTCTTGCGGTATTCTCAAAGACTGTAGACACGAAAATTATTTGCATGCCACTGATTTCTACGTACAGACGTACCAAACCACCTACTTTCCCATTTCTTATATCTTTTAAAATACCGCAGCTGTAAGCTTTTAGAAAACATTTTCTTGATTTCCCACATTATTCATTACAACATTTTCACGTTTTGTAGTTGAATTAAATAAATCGTTTTCTCGTAAACGATATTCAAAACAGAATTCCTGCATGATGGCAACGGGAGCTATGAATAAGAATACGATGAATGAGTACATTTTAATTGAAGTTCAGAAGAAAAGCTGGAACCGATTATAACACGCAATCAACACAAATAGGTCTACTGGAAAAAAGGATATTTTTCACGCCTGTCAAGTTACGAACAGGGATGGCTTAGCCGCATTAGCTCCTAGCGACTATGAGGACTATGTCTAAGGGTCCTGTCTGTCTAAGTCTCAATTCTTAGAAGAAAGGAAATTGCTAAAACAAGTCTATTTAAATAAAGAAGGATACATTTGATAGGATTCCGTTTCTCAGCCCACTAAAATGATAATGTGCACCCCTTATTTTAAGTGATAAAACACTTATCACAGATGAGTTGCTGGAATTCACGTAGACGTTCGCTCTTTTTTTTAGCTAAAAATTGGCCTTAATCGATAACCAAGTGCTTCATGTCTTCTGACTGCCTACTGAATTCCAAGGAGCGATAGGTAAGGATGTTTCTTACAATATTTTTTAATAACAGATAAATTGCGATATTAGCATATATGTAAATATGCGTGTACTCGCACGTCCTAATTGAATTCTAATTGCATCGTGCATAGGAAAAGGTGTCACTGCGAAGTTTTTAAATGATCAGCTGTATTTTTAGTAAAAGGTAAACGAAAATTGAACCTTTTATTCTCAATCGCTTCGCTTCCTGTTTAATAAAAGCTCATTGGAATTTCTAATTAGAAGTTGAATAATGGACGTAAAATTATGCTTTAAACTTTGGCTTTTTGGCTTATTTGAAATGAACGGTTCTTCCGTCCGCGAGGGAGGAACTAATTATACGGCATTTATGGGTAAGAGTTTTAATTTCACCCTAATGAATGTTATAAGGTTATTGATCGGCACTAAATTATTTTACTATAATAACCGAATGTGACACACAAACTGCGTTCTGTCGAGTTTTAATCCTACAAACGGAATTACCCAATTGCCCCGAGAGGGTAACATTGGAACTAGGTAGTTTCACATTTGTACACTTTTGTATTGCGCAATATTTAAAATTGCCATTTGCGGAAAAAAATTTTATCATTTTCTTCAAAAACAGCCCATTTCCTACACTTTCTGAAATTTTTTTTCGAAAAATACGATACCCCCCGGATACGAAACCGTTACCAATTTAGAAGAACCAAGTGTTATCGTATTGGACAATGCTTCTTACCACAGCACCTTATTGACACAAAATCCGAACAACTCGTGGAGAAAAGCAGATTTTCAAGATTGGTTACACAATAAACTTGCACTTGCGATTGTAACCTCAGAAATGTGGAAAAATTCAATTAATCACACCGAAAAGTTAATAAAGGAATGGTATGAACGCGAAAAACAATTGGATATTGCAGAAATGGTCCCAATTATTATAAACTGGGTGAAAATGATAGTTGAGTGATGACGATTAACTGGACAATAAATAAAACTGCAATTACCTAAGTCACGAGAACTGTGTATTAAAATTTATTTTCTTTTATGTTAACAAAATGGAATGTTACGTAGTCTGAAAAGTATCTTTCACCTTTTTACGATCATATCAGTTTATGTTGATTATCATTTTATGTAGTTCAATAAAGTTTCTTGTGTTTTTGTCTCGGTTGAACTTACTAGTCTCAAATTCCACTACAGCAAGAGTTGGTCAAATAACGTAAAATCAGTCAAGATTTCAAGCAAGCATTAACTTGATATTTATTTGCTGATGGCCTATGCAATGGTTTATAACTTCCGAAACATATACATAATGCCGCAATGTCCACATTCCTCATCTTTCTGCTCACAACGGCAGCGATACGTTATAAACAAAATGCTAATAGTACTACACTTAGTGAACTGCACTTTCCTTGAACCCGTCACAGCACAGTAGGAATGGGTTTTATTGATGCACAGTAGGTTGGTTTCACACAGAGAGCCAACAAAATGATCTCTGAATTTTCTAGTTCCTCTGGAATCTGGATGGTAGAAACATAACCTAAAAGTGTTTCCTTAATAAAAGATTAATATATCAGCATACCTTAGAAATATTTGGCAATGCCGTGTATTGTTGATGTCATCAAATCAATGACGTGCAACGCTTTTTATAGCGAAACCCTTTAGTAAAAAATTTACTCCCCGAATGAATTTTTGAAGTGAATGAACAATGGTGGACAGGAAAGGGTGTATGGGTAAAACTTCATGTTTTACTTGCTTATTTTAATGAGGTAAAGGTAAAGAAATCATTTACATTATGAACGACCTACATAATGTTGTGATCCACATTCAAACCTAATGCCTAATGACCATGTCAGTTTTATTATTGTAAAATGTATAGCGATCTTTTGTGATTACAGATTTAGACTGGGTTACCATATTAGCATTATAATCTGCATAATGAGAAATTTATTCTCCAAAGTCAATCAGGTAGTTAGTCACTAAACAGCTGTTAGGTCCAATACGATAGCCCTAAAAAATTATGTATTTCTAAAATGTGATAAATTACAATTAATTACCGGACAATGTTTTTGGCATAAGTATGATCGCTACAAGGTGCGTTCGGTTTGGTCATTATTTTGCTCTAAAACGTTCGGAAACTGGAAATCTGACAACTCTGACAAGAACGTATGCGTTCGTTTACGTCAAAATAGAGACAAAAAAGTGTGCTCCATTCACTCGGATTTTAAGGATCGAGCTCGCAGATTTTTATAATTTTTGACAGACGTCAACAATACATAACCTGTGTTCTGCCTGTTTGAGTGGAATAAAATGAATAATGAAGTGTTATTACAGATTTTATAGTGAGTTTTACTTAATGTAATTAGATTAAACTTGCCAAGTTATATTTACAGCTATGCAAATGAGATTTTTGATTTTTTTGAATATGAAGAGGAAGGTGCTACATTACCTAAAGTTATTGATTTTGCTGAATATACTGTACCGAGGTTTGACACCCACCAGTTCCGAGAACATTTTCGGCTTTTACCAGACACTTTTGATATCATATTGGGATATCTACATGATATTAAGAATAGGGAAGGCAAGAAATATACCTGGAAAAACAGCTATTAATCACTATATGGTATTTAGCAAACTTGGAAAGCTTTAGGTGAGTTATATCTGTCATAACTACAAAGACACAACTTACGAAGAGTTTAGATCCGTAGCTTCAAGATTTAATGTTAGCAAATCGACTTGTTGGGATATACTTCAAAGAACGTCGAAGCGATTGCTTAATGTAAATGCACTATATGGAATAATAAAATGGCCCACAGAAGAAGAAGCATTGCTAACCATGCAATCCTTTGAAAGAAGAAGCCACTTTCCAGGTAGGTAATTGTATTTTTTAGGTATCCAGTTTAATCAAGACATTTGAGTTTTTCAGGCATTCTAGGATGCATAGATGGCAGCCACATCAAAATTTTGGCACCTCAGCATTCCCCAAATTCGTATGTAAACAGGAAACATTTTCATTCAATCTTAGTCCAGGGTGTTTGTAACCATAAACGGATGTTTATCGATCTATATGCGGGTGAACCAGGATCTTTGCACGATTCCAATTTATTCAGTAAATCAGATTTATGTGAACGAATTGAAAATGGAACAGTTCAGTTTTACAACAATAGTCACTTAGTCGGAGACCTTGCGTATAAATTATCAACTTCGCTAATTGTAGGTTTCAAAAATTTGGGAAATTTAACTGAAATGCAAATAAATTTTAATAAAAAATTAAACGCAAACAGAGTTGAAATAGAAAATGCATTTGCGTTTTTGAAAGGTCGGTTTCGTAGGTTAAAATATGTAGAAACTGTAAGACTAGATTTTGTATCGTTATTTACAGTTACTGCTGCTGTATTGCACAATGCTTGCATCATGAATGGCGACTTACCAAATCAGTACGTCAATCTAGATGAAGAATTAGAAGAAGAACGTCAAAATAATGCCATAGATGCGGGAAACCATCGAAATATTAGAAATAATGCTATTGCTAAACGATTAAATATTATGCATGCATTACCTCTGTAGCCACGCCACTGTAGAAGTCAAATATGTAATATTCTATTAAACAATTTATTAACTAAACAGCTTTTAAGAAATTAACGTCAAACTGTACATAAAAAAATAATTACAAATGTATTATTCGTTTTCAGGACCACCACAATTCTTGTTCTTCATAGTGTTTGCTATATCTTGCAGTATATCAAGAAAGCGGTCTTGACGTTGTAGTCGTTCACGATGACGCTTCTCGGCACTGTTTTCCATAGTTCGTCTTTTTCTCTTGTTAGTAGGCGTAGGCGTGCTGGTTCCACTTGAGGAAGAAGCACAATCATTACCATATGCAACATCTGAAATTCAATGGAATGTATTAAATGCACCCGTAACCATAAAGATTTACCATTTTCCTCATTTCTTTGCAAACCTTTCGCACTACTACATGTAGCCACTGCTTCAATCTCGGGTTTTTTGTGCAAAATGTCATTTAAAATATCGTAAAACTTCCAGTACTTCGGTTCGTTCCCTGACGTGTCATTGTGTTTTTTCACCAACTTGTAGTGTTTTACCAAACCCTTCCACTTTGTATCACATTGAATACCAGACACTTCTATTCCAATCTTTTCAGATAAAATTCTTCCTATCTTCGTCCATACATGTTTTTTAATACCTCTTTCAAATTCTGCCACATATTTCTTGTATAATTCAATCAAAATTATGACGTTATTGTCCGTCCAGATCAGTACTTGCCTGAACCTCTTCTTGCCCAATAACTTGAAGTGTTTTGATTTCTTCGGAGACATATTCTTGTACTATATTCACAAGTATCGAGGGATCTCCTGGAAAGTAGAAACGGCACAATTTTGTGGAATTATTATTACGTAATGTATTACTTACCGTCCTGTGCATCAATCACGTCATACGGTACTTCTACTGCAATATTATCAGCTTCGTTAATCCTCAAATGTAAAACAGCACTTTTACCAGACATATTTATTGTCACAAAATTCCAACAACCCTAACCTATACAAATTTTGTAACAAGTCGCTGTGAACGCGTTCGTTTACACTACGTGTGCTCTAAAAACTCCGAGAATCACGTGACAAAAATCTGCTCTGATCTGTGATCTCCAAACCGAACGCACCTAATATTAACAAGTGCTGGTGGAGTTCTTCAACTTAAAACAGTTCGGTGGCTGTAGATCGGCTGCAGTAGCAGGAGGTTTCTTTCTGAATAATAAGCGGCGTAACATGCTTGTAATAGTATCACGGGCGGTGTGCGAAAATTTTCAATTCGAATTAACAATACCTACCCCCGCGCAGGGCCGGCTCGGGGGGTGAGGCGGCGAGGCGGCCGCCTCAGGCGGCATAATCTTAGGGGCGGAATTTTTGAAATTTAAAAATAAAAAAACATGTTTTATTATAATAATAATAAATGAAAAATTATTTATGTTCAACAATTACACAGGACAAATTAGCGGATCTGGCCATTGTCGTCATTGAACATGAACTAAGTTCTAGCATACGCTGTTTGGTTGGACTTTTACTCATATTAAAGAACTAATTAACAAACAAAAAACCTTTTCATTCGGGCGGTAAAGTTAGTGCTTGCCTGACCCATTTTTTTTCGACGAGCCGGCCCTGCCCCCGCGCACTGTTAAGTAAGTACCGTATCGACAGTATCAGCGACTTTTCGTGAATCTACCGATTGCAGTCGAGTACGGTACAATCAACACTAGACGCGACACCACTGTCTTTTTTTTCTACTCGACAAACCTGGTAAATTCATACCCATACAAAACATAAGCATTTCAAATGCTAAAAACCAAAAAATCTTTTTTTACATGTTCCATAATTTTACACTTTTGCCGTTTATTAATGATCCTAGAGATCGTTTATAATTTTGTATTGCTGTCTGTCGTCCGTCTGTTGGTCTGTTCCTTTGTCTGTCTGTCCCTCTATCTGTTCGTGTGAACGATAACTTTGTTTAGAAATGTCGGATCGCTTTGACATCTCCGTTAGTTATGAACTGAATTGCATGAAATTCCATATGGGCATAGCTTTAGCCATATAATACGCAATCCCAAAAGTTGAGTCGAATCGATTCAAAATTCACAGTGCCCTTTTCGCATCTCGACCATTTATAAACCGAATTGTCAACTTTTTTATTTATAAAAGTATTTGAATGAAATTTGATACATAGGCACTTGGAATAAATGAAAACGCCAGTTTCAAAATTTGGTTTTGCGCATGCGCAGTGCTAACTTTTTCATTTATGGAAGAATTTAAACGAAATTTGATATACCGGGTGGTGCCTAGCGCGACGCAGCATGGGGATTTCAATGGTAATTTCTTTATAGACAATGACTAGCTCCCCTAAATATCTGATTTATTGTAAAATGAACCTTTTTATTTTGTCGATTTCTACGGTTTTGAAAAACGTAAAATTATGAGTAATAGTATGAACAGATGCAGTATTTTTTCTCTGAAAAAAACGTATTTAGACTTTTGCTTTAAAATAATTAGGGGGGCTAGTAATTGACTATAAAGAAATTACCATTGAAATCCCTATGCTGCGTCGCGCTAGGCACCATCCTGTATAGGCACTTGGAATAAATGAAAATCTAACGGCAGTTTCAAAATTTGGTTTTGCGCATGCTCAGTGCCAACTTTTTTATTTATGGAAGAATTTAAATGAAATTTGATACATATAGGCGCTTGGAACAAAGTAAAATCTAACGCTAGTTTCAAAATTTTGGCACTGCATATCCTACACAAAACCAAATTTGGAAAATGGCTCTACATTTGCTTTTATTCCAAGTGGCTATGTATCAAATTTCATTTAAAAAACACAAAATAGGTCTTAAGCATTTCAAGGGCAAGTGTTGAGACTATTGTGAAATGCACAAGATAGCTCAGCGGAGCGTGCTAGGCCTCATCATAGTAGCTGTAAAAATTGTGTTGGTTGTTATAGTAATAGTGGTTGTTGATGAAGTTCTTATTCTATGGTTGGTGACTTGTAATCTTTGACAAGAGAAAAATATTAAAATTGGAACTGAATCTTGTTTTTTAACTTTACTTGAAGGAAATGTTTTAATAATGACCTAGCCACTAAGCCACTAAATGATAAATGGGCGATGTCAGAAATATAACTTTTCACATAAGATCGGCCAGCTTCGCGGCCAAATTATTTCGTTACTTGTGAAAATTCCATACAACCTGTTGTTTGTGATATAATAAAAACCGACAGAACGCGAAACTCAGAGAAATAGGTTCATGTTGGAGGAAGCAGCAATCAAGATACATTTTTCATGACTGAATGTTTTGTATCTGTGCAGTGTACTATATGTAGGAAACGTGATTACGTTTATAAACCAGAAGCCAATAATGTACATATTCCCTAGCTGAGAATTTAGCATTTAGTAGTTGGCAGTTGGCAGGACACTTCAACAATTGCGCCGAAATATTGTCCATTTTATTTGCAATACTTTGTAACCTATCCGACTCTGTAATAGGATATTACACAGGAGCTTGTTATTTTTTATTTCTGTCATACACATAATACCTATATACCTATAGATATACTGTTGAATCGACATTCGGCATTTATTATTATTATCATTTTACGTCTTTATGTGAATCGATTTGTTACAACACCTGAAAATGTCGAACAGAATGTTATATAAATCTATACAACGTAAACATCTTTCAAACATCTGTCGTTAATAATTGTCAACTGTTAGGAGCAATTTCAAATGTTCTCAGTTCTGTTAGAATTGAAACCTTCATTAGGGGTAGCTTTCCGAAAGGGATATCCAAAAGCAATTGTAAGTTTGACAACTGCGAAATATTTTAGTTCGGGCAGCGAAACTATACCACCAAAGCTTTGAAATCTCATTATTTATAGATATCCATCCAAAATTCCAAAGACCCTTATCATTAGGTAATATTCCCTTAAAAATCACCTCGCGAAATGTGAGAAGTTCGCTTCATTCAATATTTGTAAACATAAAAGACAGCACGTTTATAACGACCTAAGGTATCTCTCTATTACTTGCTGTGAGGCATAAACCGTCACCATTATCCTTAATGATCCTTAGTGAAAGCGTTTGGAGTGTTCCATTATAATAGTTATAAGTTGTAATAAGTCATAGAAAAACTTTTAATTATAAAAACTTTATAGTCTAGGCAACGAAGCCCAAAAAAGGCTGAATAGAGGAAAAAAATCGTGTGGAAGCCAATTTTGGCACAGATATAGGGGAAGGTATCCTGAACAACATACTAAAAGTACTGAGGAGTGGGGTGTGAGCTAAAGGAGGGGGAAGAGTTAAAGGTCCCTTTTTTTAGTTTGTCGTGAATAATTTGAAAACGGTTGCTCCTAGTTAAAAATTTTGCTCTAGAGAATTAAACAGCATAAAATTATCTACAAAATGATATAGCACAGTATATAATAATAATTAATGTGATCCAGAGGGAAGAAAAATCAAAATTAGTCAAATTTTAACCAGTACGCACACGGGCAGCCCGAATGCGATTATGTCGCCGGCCGGCCCGTGTAGCGCAGTTCAGTGGAAGCTCGACTGCGGTACAGGGTCCCTGGTTCGAATCCGGGTTCGGGCATGGATATTTGTAAATGTATAGTGGGTTGGGTTGGTAGAGCAGCCTCGGCTGAAACCCCGCCCACTTAAAAATAAAGGCAAAATAAATAAATAAATATGATACGTAGGCGGGAGGGTGCATGCTGGTGGACAGCAAGGATGTCATTAGTTCACTCTCATCACGCTATGAGGCTCCTATTGTTCAATTGTTTCATCGATTCAAATGCAACATGTTGTCCCATGACGACGCGAACGAACTCATTCAGTTCCACTGTCTTTAGTGAGCCTTTACGATAAGTTGCGCATCTTAAAGCTAGTGTGTTTAGTCGACTTGTGTTTTACTTTACTTGATGCCACATGATTAACTATGGCTGATAAGTGTTTAATTTGCGAGGATGATGATGACAGTGGGGAAAAATGGAATAAATGGATTAGTAAATTCTAGTATTCTGAGAAAAGATGGACAAGTAGACAGTTTTAGGAGGAAAGAGACCGGCCTGTGTTTTTTTTACAGATACAACAGTGGCTCAATAACCCCTTACCGCCCACCCAATGGGGTTGGGCCAAAGGAGAAGACGGGGTACTATTCCCGGTAACCACAAATTATCCAATGGCACTCGAGGCGATAGTTAACACAATATTTTGCCGATGTACAACTGGGTGCAGAGGGAGGTGTGGCTGCCGCAAAGCACGAATTGCTTGCTCCGTCGCTTGCGGCAGTTGCCTTGGCATGTGCACGAACGGAGCCCCAAACGATGCCATCGATGACGACGAGACGATGAAGATTTTGACTCCTGCCCACACAATCTCGCCTACGTAACATAATCGCAATCAGACTTGCCGTGTATTATGACTATTTTAAAATTTTTGATTTTTCTTCCCTCTGTATTTCATTAAGGATCATCATGGCTTATATACTGTGCTATATCATTTTGTAGGTAATTGTACGGTGTTTAATTCTCTAGAGCAAAATTTTTAATTAGGAGCAACCGTTTTCAAATTATTCACGAAAAACTAAAAAAAGGGACCTTTAACCCCTTCCCCACCCTTAGCTCACACCCCACCCCCAGTACTTTTAGTATGTTGTTCAGGATACCTTCCCCTACATCTGTGCCAAAATTGGCTTCTACGCGATTTTTTTCCGCTATTTTTCCTTCGTTGCCTGGACTATTACTGCCTATTAGCTTATCGATTTGGAAGCATTAG